TCACATCGACTCTGCTTGATTATGTATCACATCTACTGAGGATAAAATTTTGTCTATGGAAGTAAAACATATCCGAGAAATAAGCGATCATGAAATAGTTGTTTTAAAATTTGGTTGTGATGTCAAAACTAATACAAATAAATTTATTACTACTCGGAATTTCAAAAATTTAAATTATAGTAAATTTAAATCAGATCTGGAATCTATATTATGGAATAATATATGAATTGCCAGATATAGACAGTAAAGTCGATTTTCTCTCTAATAATATCATTACTTTAGTTGACATACATGTTTCATATCAGACATTTAGAATCTCAAAGAAATATGCTCCATGGTTTACTAGTACCATCAGGCAATTAATGTTAGATAGAGATAAAGCACTTACTGCTTACAAGATTACTACAAATATAAATCAATGAAATGACTACAAAATATTACGTAACTTAGTAACAGCCATGCCTATAAGGGAGAAAAAATCATATTTCAAAAACATACATGATCCCTCTTCTAAAGATATGTGGAATAATTTAAAATATTTGGTAAATAATTGCAAAACCAAAAATAACTTCAAAATTAAAAACGTGTGGAATGCAAATTGGATAAATAAACACTTTATTGAAGTCATACCAAACATGAAAGCAGACATTAATACACAAATATTCTATAAAAATAACTTTAAGTATTCCCTCAGTTATTCTCTGACCTTTAAACGAGTATCTGAAATTAATATTTTGCATATTATTAATGATATTAAAAGTAAAGCTATTGGTGATGATAGTATTAACATATTAACGCTGCAACTATGTATTCCCTTTCTTCTACCGTATATCACACATATCATTAACTTTTGCTTAACAAATTAAATTTTACCCACTAAATGGAAACGGGCACATGTTATTCCTTTACCGAAGGCTAAAATTACAGAAAACATGAATGAATTAAGACCAGTAAGTGTACTGCCTACATTATCTAAAATTTTGGAAAATCTATATTCAGTTGCAAACGCATTTAAAAAATATCAACATAATCCCGGCAATGTAGTCCGGTTTTAGGTCCAGATATAGCTGTCTTTCTGCTTTATTAAATATTACAGATATTTTTAGAGCCTATGACTAAAACAAAATATCAATTCTAATTCTTCTAGAATACTATTCTAGAAGCGAGAGCAGTATCTGATGAAATCCTATCTTTCTAATAGATGTCAAGCAGTAAAACTTAACCAAAATATTTCTAGATCTTAATACTGGTGTGCCTCAAGGATCTATATTAGGTCCAATTTTATTCTCTATATACACATCTAATTATCCCCGTTTTTGTCCTGTTCACAACATTTTTACGCAGACGACACTCAACTCTATATGTCATTTTATCCAAATGCGTGTGATCAAGCGGTAAATGCAATAAATCATGACCTTCTTCATCTGCAGATTTTTTCTCAAAATCATTTTTTAAAATTGAATAAATCAAAAACTCAGGGTATCCTTTTTGGGAGGAATCTCCATAGGAAAATATTTTTAAAGAATTATGCCAATCGAATTATCTTAGGAAATGAAAATTTAATTTTTAGCAAAAAGATTAAGAGCCTAGGTGTTCGGTTCGATGAAGATTTAAGCTTTACATATCATGTAAGTATTTGTTTACAAAAAGCATACACCGTTTTAAAATTACTGTATCAAAGCTGTAATTTATTAATTACGGCACAAAGTCATTGTTATGTAATGCTTTGGTATTATCAAAATTAAATTATTGCAAGTCATATTTTCACCGTTGTTAAGTGGGTAAATATGAAAAATCGTCGGAAACGTCATGCTTTATGATTTTACCATAAAATCATTCAACAGGGAATTCCACCATACCTGTACAATCGAATAAGTTATAGGACTATGTTCATAATCTTAATCTTAGACACAAGAATACTCTCACTTTACCTAAACATACAACATGCTTTTTTTAGACATTCATTTTCGTAATCAATTGCTTGCAATATTAACATTTTGTCCTACAATATTAAAAATTTGTCTAGTGTCAAGTTTAAGAGATTAATTTATGAACAGTTGTTAGCTGAACTGTAATTAAAAAATTTAAAAATTATTTAAAAAAATAAATAATTTATAATTTATCAATTTAATATGTAATATTTTTATGTGTCATTGTAAAATACAATTTCATTATTTAGATATAGTCTATCTATCCTATCTTCGGGGGGTTATTGTTTATACCCCCGATATTTATATATATATATATATATATATATATATATATATATATATATATATATATATATATATATGGTTTTTTTGTTTGTTAATTAAGACATTTATCCAGATTTAGCCATACGGCTCACACTCCCTCTAAGGGGAAAATTCACTCATCCCAGATACCTATGGTATCAAAAGGATTGAGCTCTGGTGGGACTCTTTCCATGTTATCGAGCCCTAGGTGACTTGGTATGTTGGAGTATCTCCCAAAAATTTTCGTACACATCTAGATGTCGCGAGGAGTACAGCTTGCTGCATGGCCTTATAAAGATGTTCATTTAGACCCAGCTGTTTTCTGTTTGCTAGGAGGTTTAGACATTTATTATTATTATAGGCTTTCCCTAAAACCTCCCTCGCGGAGGGGGAAAACAGATAAAAATGATTTACCATGAATCTGTATGCTGAAGAAAACAAGGTTTAAAATAAAAAATATAGCTGAGTCAGCTGAAATAATTTTGAAGAAAACATTTATAGCACTTTTTGTGTAGAATGAATCTTCTCTCAGAAACAATGCTTGAAGCGACCAGTGATTTCACGCGCGAAACCAATTTTAAATAAAATTTGTATCAACTCGACAGTAAAAATATATATTTTGGTAAGATTGTCTTCTTTTGGTTAAGATTGTCAGTAAAACTTTTATTTAACATTTCTTTTAGTTTCCTTGTACTCCTCTTGCATATTTTTACACTATTAGAAGGTAAAGGTATTTCATAACCTAGAGAAAACCCGGAGATAAAATTTAAACAATAGAATTAAAATTTGATATCTGTAATTAAACTTTTTGCAATATATTTGAGTGTGACTGAGTGATAATCGCGTAAATCAGGGTATAATTTTGTATATGTATGTATACAATTTCCAAAAAAAAAAAAATGTTTATTAAAATCTTAGGATGCACAAATATAAAACCACGAATCATAGTTATTTTGATGTAGAAATGTATGTTATGTTCTTAATTTTGATATTTTCAATATAATTTTAATGCAGTTAAAAAGATATCTTACTTTGTAATATGTATGTTGGTATTGTTAAATTTTATTCTTGTTATATTTTTAGTATGTAAGATTTTAAGTCTCATTTTTTAAACTTTTTGATATTGATTTTATATTATAAGTAATTTCAATTTTGGAATCCTAACTGTGATATTGTATTTTTTTAAACAGTTAATGGAGTTATACTGTGTATTAAATAAATAAATAAAAAAAATAAATAAATTTAGATTTATTTTTAAATTTACTTGGATTTTCTGAGTAATTAACTAAGAGAGGTTTTAACTTACACTCACCAATTGCTTTCTTGCCAACCATAACTTTCAATCGATTTTTAGCAGCTTTAAAACCTAGAAAGGTTTTCTCTTCACATACAATAAAAGTTCTTTTAGCCATCTTCTTGCAATCCTGTGCCAATCACAGTGACTTTTTAAGCAGTTAAACCAACTATTACTAGCTTCAAACTCTTTAATCTTTACCTTTAGTGATCTCCTCAGCATCCTCTCTCAAAAATCTGCTTAGCTTTGGAGCTCACTGTGTTCTGATTAATAGGACAATTTTTCACTTTTACCTGATTATCACACCATAAGTTTAAGATTGTTTCCATATCAGTAATAATACCGTGACATTTACGAACAATGGTTGAATTTAAAAAATTGTGAACTTTTCACAGATTTGATAATTTTTTCTTTGCCCTTTGTAATTGTTCTGACCTATGATTCCAGCAGATCAAACTTCTCTGCTAATTTACAACATTTCATTTTTGTATCAAAATCTTTAATTATGTGATGTGTACATTCCAAACATAACGTTTTTCTTTTCTTGTTTGATACAGGAGAATCAGTTCTACTTCGTTTGGATGGCATTAGTAATCCCAGTATAAAAATACTAACACATGCTTCGCAACAGAAAATAAATTGTAGCTATGTGTTGATTTCATGTGACAAGATCAAACATGTACATTAGCGGAGCAATAGTGTAGAGGCGGTAATTCGATAATTGATAATCAAGAGATTTTGTGATGTTCAAATGACAAATAGATGAAATTTGAAAATCACATAATTCTGGGTTCACATAAGTCAGTCTATATTAATATATATACTTTAAAAATTTATTTACAGCTGTATTGTCTCTTTAAAAAAATAGTAGTCTGTCGTTAGTGTGCTAAAATGAGGTCTCTCCAGTTAAGAGTTGGTAAAGAAAAGATTATATAAAATGACATTACTTATTTTTATAGTAGATTTTGTGTTCTAATGAAAAATATTTATTGTATTGTTTCTTTGTCCTATATATGTTGTGTATGTTGTGTTCTTAATATCCTATATAGATCCAACTAATTTGGATTTGTACCAGCTATTAAATTACATTTTTCTACTTAATGTTTAACATTATCTGTTTGCCCATTATACAGTTATGTATAATATAGCATAGTATATCGTATATATGTAACATACAGTTACCCCAATAAATATCCCACATGAATGTATAGGTAATGGATTTTGGGAACAGCTATGACCTTGAAAATGCCACAAAGAATATAACTAAATATCTCTTTTCTTACTCATACTCTTTAAAGTCTTTTACAATATTTTAGAATCGAAGATATGTAATTATATTATTAATGTATTGGATTTTGACAAGAGCTATGCATTATGCCTATTTAGTACACAAGTTTATGTGAAATGTTCAAGGTCATAGCTGTTCCCAAAATCCATTACTTATATGTATGTATATGAATATATATTCTTACCCAGTTGATCAGTATATCTCCTCAAACCACCCCTAATAATGGCATCTACATTTAGAGAATGTACCTTTTCTGGATTTTTTGAGATCAATTCACACAATTCATTCCACAACTGATGTTTTGATTTTCCTTGTTGAGAAACAAATCCCTCATCATTCACAATCTTTGCCATCAGCTGAGCTGCTTCATCTAGCCTTTCAATACCTGTGAGGTAATCTATAAATTCTTCTGCATTTTCTGGACATAATTTCATATATCTGAAAATTGTATTAATAATTAAAGCAATTTTGATAATGTTCCCAATAAAAAGGTACCAGTGAACAATCTTACCTTCGAAATACTCTTACTGCAGTTTCTGGAATATCATGTTTCTGAACAAATTTTAAATACAAGGGCCAAATTCTGTTATGCTGGGTCACTGGTAATGCCCTCAAAGCCCTGTCGAATACTTTTCTTGTCCTAGTTATTTTACACTGATCTGTTAAGAATGTACAATAATCCATCCATATTCTAGGCATCTTGTGCATAAACACTAATGACCTTTCAAATGCATTATTCACTTCTTCATAACCTGGGTCTGTTATACATTTACTCTTTATTTGATTTCTTCTAGTTCTTAAATAATTATACCATAATTTGTAGGATCCTGGTAATTCCTTTAGAGCTCTTTCAAAGATTATGTTGACGCCATTATTTGGTGCTGCCTTTTTGTGGTCTATATATCTTAACCAGTGTTTAACTGAATAAGGGTTTCTTAAAATTTCTTCTTCATATGGGAGATCTTCATCACTCTAAAAACAGATTACAAATCATTTAATCAAGTCAAATTTATACAAAATATTCAATAGCTACAACAATAACTTACAAAGGTTATTTCCATATTTTCCGTTTCATTTCCAGGCTTTATCGGCATTTTAGGAGCAAGAACCTATTCACTTATTTTTGTTTATATTTTTGGTTAGAATAACTGACACGCTGTCACACTGACAGCATTTTTCATGTTACATCTTATCTACCTCCTGGCTTGTATTTCTTTCATAGCAGTCATTAGTCCAATTCTTTTTAAAACAGATTTAATAAACATTTTACAGTTCTAAACTAAATTAAATATTAAACTACATTATATGACAGAAATTGAACTGAGAAAGTAGATTTTATTATAATTTAAAATGGAAAATCTCCAATGTCAACTGTCAAATATAGAATCTGATTGGTGTAGTTTCTCTGAATCTAAATTTTCCACCACAGTAGTTAATCTATGTTATCACAGTAGTTCAAATGTATCGTCAATTTTAAAATCTGGTTTTATATTTAAATAAATATTATTTGAAAATAATTTGGAAATAAAACATTTATTTGATATTTACTGTGAGTTTTAAAGTGTTTGTTCGGTTAATATTTGAATATTTTAAAACTAAAGTGTATGACATAACCTCTTTATTGAACAAATTTTATTTATAGTTGATATTATGTCGATTTTATTAAATTCGGGAAGCGCTAAACAATATTTAAGTGCCGTTAAACAATTGTTACCTCAAAATGTACAACTTACATTAACACAAAAGGTAAGGCCGATAAACATTTTAACTTGATATAATGTTTTTCACTTTTTAGGTCATAATTGTTTCGATTTCGACTAGTGTTGTGTTTATCGGTGTTCTTGCAAGACTTTTACGTCGTAAAAAGAATGTCGTGGACCCCTCAAAACTACCCAGAAATATTTTTAATGGTAAACTTTCGAGGATACCAGGAATGAGAAGCCCCTTTCCAGGTTAGGTTTTATTTCTAGATAATTGAGGTGTCAGTAAGATAATCAAGTAACTAATACAGATAATTGAGATACATTTGATTCTCTTTTTTATATAAATATTCCTCCTCATAATTTTAATAAAACAAGGTATTCGTTTTTCTAAATTTTTTAGATATGGGAAGTGTGGCAAGCAGTGGAAGACGTAGTGGAACATATAGTGTAACTGGAGACAGACTGCACCGACAAGGCTCAATTATAGCAAGTGGAAAAGCTTCAATAGCTTCTGGAAGTGTAGTTAGTAATGGTTTACCAATTCCTGAAGGCTTGAATACTTCAAATTTAACACCACAGCAGCTTGGAGTAATGGGTGAGTGATTTTTCTAATAAATCGTATGTGCATCTAACATTTCAGACATTTTAATATAATTAAATATTTAAAATGTGGTTAAAATATCAAACAAACTAGTGTGAAGCATTCTCAATTATTGTTTAAATATATTATCGAGCAAATATTAATTCATGTTTTGCTAAATATCAATATTTTATGTGCGGATTATTCAAATAATTTTATAATCCAAATAGGAATGTACTCAAAATATTGTTCCAGGGATAAAAGCTTTTATTACCCTTTTTATATTATGAATTTTTAATTTTATGCTACAATTTATTCCATTTAATATTATAAAACCAGGATAATTTTTATATTAATTTAATATTATGTTCTCATCTTCAGTGATTTTGTTTTTCAATTTTTATTTGACTCTTTCAAATGTTTTGAAATACTAAAAATTTGGCATAATCATGCATTATATAATTTGAATATGGTAGTAAATGATTCTTATTGTTCATTTTGTAATGTTGTAACTGCAGAAATATTCTGTAGTCTGTATTTTGTGAATATTTGTGATACAGTGAATATTCTAACTCAAGATCTTAATTATCCATATTTAGTTTTCATTCATTTTCAAGTTCATTCACAATTTTTTTTCTGATATTTTCAATTTTTAACTGTATTTATTTGAATCTGACTGAACAATGTATTTCTTACATTTTTTATTTTACACTGTTGCCAATTTGTTCTGTATTAGTAGTGTAGCTTGATATTCCTATTTTATAGTATAGATTCAAAATTGAAGGTAAATATGTAAAAGTTTTAAATGTCTTAGAACAACTACATTGTTGCCAGGTTGTACTTATAGTTATTTTATCATCATCTATTTTGATTATCCCCATGCATTCAAGTAGTATACAATAATGAACAGTTTGTATCTGAGAAAATATATTCAATAAAATCAATAGTTAATGAAATAAGCTACAAATACTATAAGATTGTCTCTTCAAAAAGTATAAATGAGAACGGTGTACATAACAGTTCTTGTGATAAGTATAAAATGTCATGTTATGTATAAAATGATCAGTGTTGCCGAAATGTACAGAAAATATCACTCATTTACAAAGTTTACTTGGTTTGATGATGCAAAAGTATAATTGCTACTATTTTTGTTGATAATTAATATTTTATCCAAAACATTGACTCTAGTTCCTAGTTCACATATTGTCTTTCTCTTTTGTGGTGTGTCTAATGCAACTTTTTCATGGCTCAGGCTCAATATTTGCTATCTAAGTAAGTAGTAGGCTTCTTACTCTTACTTCTTTCATTTTGAAAGTCCAGTTTTTCTTGCCCCTTATTTGAGATAACACAGCTTCAATGGGGTTTAGTCCAAAAAGTTAAGGAAGGTTAAAAGAACAATTCTGTTCCTTTCACGAGACATTTCACTGACAATCTATTCTTTAATTCAATAATACTTTTAACTTGTTACCATCTGTTTGGGAAAGTATGTAGTATTTATTTTCATATTTTACATTGAATATTTTTCTTTTACTGTACTATGATATGGTCTTATTTAATGGTATATTTAAACTACTTATTTGCTTTAAAATATATTGTTTTCTGTTATTCAGTAAAATCCCATTATTAAACTGGCTTAAACACATTTTTAAGTTCAAAGATTCGACTTTGTTTGTTATGTTGGGTCATTTTCTTGCAGATCATAGAAATCTTTATAAAGTATCATATTACTGTGACCATTAAGTTGAATTATCGCTATTCAAAAGCACGAATTGCACTTGACCTCTAAGTTGTTGATTTTCCGAAGGTTAACAGGCCGATTTTATGTTATTCCATCGTTTTTACAACCTAATCCTCTTAATTTGTCTTTTCTCTTTTCTTTTCGATACTTACTCGTTATTCTCATGCATCGTCGTTTTGTATCGCAGAATCGCTTCAGGAAATTCCCGAATCTCAAAGAGGCATATGTTGAATTCACGAAATATTTTATTACTTCCCAAAATATGATGCCGGTTCCTGAATTCGCTTTTAAGTCGTATATTTCTTATTACTCTCATGCAAAAGACAAATTTTTGTTGTTCAAAACAATCGACAATCTATATGATGTTCGAGGTGTGTTGCTAATCGACGCTTTTTTACTGGTCCTAAAAGGGCATCTCGTTCTTTACTTAATTTTCGATATTTTCGTTTTAAAGCAAACATATCGACAATTTAAAGTAAAAAAGGAATTTTAGAACTATAACGAAGTTTTCTGGAGATTGGATTGTTCTAAACCTCTCCAAGAGAGGTTTTTACTACGTACCATTACTTACGGCACTTCTTCGTTTTATTTACCTTAAAAACTCTACAAGAGTAACTCTCTTATCTACTTACTTCTGCAGTGAGCACTTATTTAGCTTCTAAAGGTCTATGGTTTATAGGCAATATGCCAGCAACCATCTCGACGGCCTTCCATCAGAATCACGCTTCAAGTGATTCTCTTTTATCTACTCACCTTCTGCAGTGAGCACTCGCTTATCTTTTAATGCTCGATGGTTTTCCGCTAGAAAAATCAACAACTTCAATAAAATTTCGTTTATTTTCAAGGCTTTGGCTCAGACATCTTGTTCGTTGATAAAGAGGGACCTTCCATTATTACGGTGCTAGGCCTAAAATGGGACAATAAGACTGACTTCTTTTCTTCTTCTTCTCGTCCCTTTGACAAACCTTGTATAAAGCGGGCTACTCGTTCGTAAATCAGTCGTATTTTTTTCTATCTTCTCGTTTTTATTTTTCCATGTATTTTTGCTAGTTAAACGTCTTATACAACCGTTTTGGTACTCCAATGTATCCTGGGATGATGAAACATCTGAACAGATACAACTGACCTCTGTACTTGTATGTGTTACATTTTTTGTGTTATTTCTATACAAGACAATCTATCGCAAGATCGGAGCTCTTGGCAGCTATACTGCTGACTGATCTAGTCACTTTTGTCAACGAGTCTCGTCCAATTTTCATGCTCGTTCTGATTCGACAAGATTGGAGCTCTTGGCAGCCATATTGCTGGCTGATCTAGTCACAGCTGTCAAAGGGTTCTCCTTCCGATCTTCTGATGTTTGGTCTGATTCAGCGATTGCGCTCCCTTGAGCTTATTTTTCTGCCTATAAATTGCCAATCGTATTAAGCACATGCAAGAACTGATACCACGCTCTACTCATGTGCGCTCTACTATACTTATATGTCTTCTAATCAAAACTCATCTGATTGTGTTAGTCGTGTTTTATCACTAGCACAATTATTACAATTTTCAACAAACTGGCATTTTCCTACCGTGGAACTCGTCGAAATATCATTACTCCCCTGTCATCGAAAACTCTCTTCTGAAAGGCGATATCACGCCGAGATTTCGTCGCTATTCTTCTTCTTGTTTTTCGCACCCCACGGAATTCTTATAGGAAAAAAGGCCAACGGTATTCATCCAATCCATATTTTATTTTTACATACTTAGTTTTTTATTAGTACATCGATCTTTCATGTCTATTCTTTACACTTATACTTTCAGCTGTCCTTAAAAACATTAGTTTTTGGAGCGGGAGAATGTTTGGGAAAGTATGTAGTATTTATTTTCATATTTTACATTTAATATTGTTCTTTTACTGTACTATAATATTGACTTATTTAATGGTATATTTAAACTACTTATTTGCTTTAAAATATATTGTTTTCTGTTATTCAGTAAAATCCCATTGTTAAACTGGCTTAAACACATTTAGTCTATTTTTAGGTTCAAAGATTCTATTTTCTTTGTTATATTGGGCCACTTCCTTGCAAATCATAGAAAACGATGTTAAGTATCATATTACTGTGACCATTAAGCTGAATTATCGCCATTCAAAAGAGTCGATTTATGGGTGTGCACTTTATTCTCTTACCCCATAATCCCCATATTATCCTAACGATACAGCTTACTGAAAACATTAACGTTATCGGTTAAGTCCTCTTTGGAGCCTCGGCGCCGGGCGTTCTTTAACGTCGTGACGTGGTACTATTCTACTGCCTGCTTTAATAATTAATTCACCAATATTTCAAAAATTAAGTCTATGCTTTGTAAATATAACAGCAATGAGTGAAATCCAGCTAATTTTTGTAATTTATTCACAATAGATCACATGCCATAAGTTAAAAAAATATCCGTGTAAGGGGCGCTTACGTCGAGGTTTGGTATTAAATCATAATCTCATATTATTCCTCAGATTCAGATATACATTTCAATACATTTTTGCAGATTTTCAGAGATAGTTTCTTAGTGTTTAAAAGTTGGATATTTTTTGGAGATATTTCAATGTTGAAAAAAAAGTTTTTTTATTTTATGTCTCATAGTTAACCAATGAAATAACGCAAATTAAATCTTGTTTAAGTCTTATATTTGCCAAGTTTAAAACAAATTATAGTTGATAAATAATAGTAACAAGTCACAAAAATAAATGCTGTCCCACCAGGAATTTAATTTATCAATATAGGTGATCTATAGATAGGAAAATAATTTTCACAAAGTGTTACTTATTCTATTTTTATAATTACAAATCATAAAACAGTTATAAATTATTTCATTCATATATGGGAATAATTTAGCAGAAATTTTATCTTTTAGTATTTTATGTTTTTGTGCCAATCCTATTTTCATACATATGACAATATTTTCGACAATGATTCTACAATTGGTAATGGTCCTTGTTTTTATTATTTGTTCTTCTGTTAACTAAGCCCTTTTTTTAAATTGAGGTATATAAATGTATTCCTTTTTCCTCTAAAAGATCTGACACATAAAACGGACCTCTGTTCGCTTAAATAAATTCTCCTTCTTCAATAAGTCCTAAAATTCTGCATTATACTGTAATTTTTCTATCTGAAATACTGCCTCCATAACATCAGATACATATATAATTTCACCTTTTTCAAAACATGCTATTAGTATTTTAAAGGTTTTGGTTCCATAATATGTCGCTTGTTGTATAAGTCATGGCTTCGGTCTATTGGAATTTTGGTACAGTCCAGAATAATTTTGTACTGGTCCTCTCAAGTTGTTGCGATGTTCCAAAAGCAATTTTTTTTTAAACGAGGATAAAGATTCTTGGTCCACTTAATAAATATTTTTCCGGCAGTTCGAATGTCTACCGCAAAAAATGCTTTAATGTAGAATAAAACAAATTGAGTCTATATTTCATAAGCGTTATTAACAGTTCATTTTCCACTGAAATAGCACAATATATGATTTTCCAAACTCTTCAACAAAAAATGTAAATAATTTTCTTGAAAAACCAGTAAAATGTTTCTTCTGGCAAAAAGTCATACGATATTAATTGACTTCTATTCCATGTTATCAAGGTCTGAGTTATAATACCTGTTTTTGAACTCTCCGATTTATTTTCATTAGCAGGTGTCTCTGTTGTGAATAAAGCTTATTAAAGCTTTATTCACAAATTTAACATTGTCAGTTTTATTGGAAACTGAATTGCATTGTGGCACACAACAATTGTAATGCATAGTATAAAGTTTTAGTATGAGTGGCTAAAAAATTAAAATGTCCCAAATGGCATAATAAAATAATGTTGTGTTTTAATACCAAACCCTGACGCCAGCACCACCTACATGCATGCGATCTATTAATATTTGCTATTTTCGCTAATTTATTTAGAGTCAAAATATTGCGTTTTTTTATTATTATTCTAATTTCATTTAACCATCGACCTTTAAGTTTTACACAAAACACCATATAATCCTACAGTTCTTAGATAAAGCCAATTTACGATGGCACATTATTGCCAGACAATTGTTGGTGACTGTTCCAATTATCAAATATAGTATGTCACATTATCCAAAATAACAACAGAATTTGATTTAAAATTTGGTAAAATCCTCTATAATAACCTTCCATTTTTGTGTTTCCATTTTTCCATGGTAGTCATTGGTTTTTCTTGACTCAAAAAGACCCACCTTTGATACTGTTCAATTCAATTTTTAAAGCAGGTCTGATATCCGAAAGATGTCTTCTTCTTCTCATACATTTTACCCTCTCAGGCATCAGATCCGAAAGAAGTCAAAATATGAATTATTATCTGAAGAAAACTTTGGAGTCACTTTGATAATTAATGGCTAAAACCAAATATTCACTCTAGTGTCTTCTTCATGTATGGTATGTCTAATGCAAGTTTCTATGGCATTTTCTATCACAGTTACCAGCAGACTTATCACATCATCCATTTAAAAAAACTTGAAAGTTTTTTCTAGCCACTTTGTTATATTTGAGCTCATGTAAGCTCAGTAGGGTTTATCTTGCAATGAATATGAGGACGGTATAAAAAGTAAGATAAAATGGCTTGTGTATCTTACTTTGTATGTCAAATGACACTTTTTCAAGTAATGTCTATCTTGTGCAGCTAAGAACAGTGAATGTAAATCCAAACCAGACCATATCTCTTATGTTTTTCAACCACGAATATTTGCATCTTCCCAGACCTCTCTTGCCTGTTATTTTCCCTTCGATAATTAACTTCAAAAGCTTTGTTTGACTGCTTCTTATAATGTGGTCAGTAAAGTATAGAGTCTTCCTTTTTTATGTTAGAAATCGACTCTCTTTATTAGATTTAAAAATCTATTAAGCGTCTTAGACTTAAGTGCCCTCTTAAATCAACTTTCAATTTTGTGTATGCCCATTTCTTGAGTTTTATTAGATGCAAGTAGTAACACACCACTGTCAAAAAAACTGGAATCACTACTTATGTCTTAATATTCATTGTCGGCTGGTTAAACCGGTTGCAAACTCTTTAATGAGAGAACTGTCTCGTCTCCTTCATAAGACAATTTCTAGAATCTTTTCTACGGGTATATATCAAATTTGCTTCCACTTTGTTTATTTTTTTTAGAAGTATGTGAACCCCCGTAGACGCTTTTGCCAAATCATTACTCAAAGTATGATATTGACTAACATAGTTTTGATGTTCAACACTTCTATTCGAGTGTAATAGTTGAATTATCTTCCGCATCAAAAAGACGCTAGTGTTAAAAAATACGAAAAAAGTGCTGGCATCCCTTTTTCTCTTTCTTTACGAGTCCTAGAAGTCTACATTAAATGACAAGCTTCATACTGCAAATCTACCATTCGTGCTGGTTAGGGTGAGGGTAAAAAAGGATAAAACTTTCTTTCATATATTTAATAATGAATATCTACATAATACAGGAATGTACAATAATAATTAAAACAAACAAACATTATACTCTTTACACAAAAAGTTTTCAGTCCAATATTTGAATCACAAAGAACGGTAGCTGCTGTTTATTCCTTAAAAGATATTGTCACTATTTCTTATAGAAAAGCAGAAATAGAAGTTGATATAGATTACTTTCTCATAAATAATCGCAAAGTGATATTTTAGAGAACAATTAGAAGCCATATAAGACAAAAAACAAAATCAGACATTCTTCTAATAACAAAATTGTTTTGAGATATTTTGTATAGGACATCTATTATGTGTTGTATGAAGAATCTGATGTCAAGTTTATCTGTTTTTTTTTACCTTCTTTTTTGCAGATAAAATAATGACAATTGTTGACACCTGAAAAGGGAAAGCTGAGGAAGCCGAAGAATTGTCATTGCTTTGTCTGCATTTAAGTCTTGTTTGCTTTAGGCTTATTTCGATGCATCACACAGCTAGAATATGCAATGCCATATGTCCACCAACATGTAGCAAGCTATATATATATATATAATATATATATATATATATATATATATATATATATATATATATATATCAATAATAGCAGAAGTCAAGCAATAATCTGATTTTGTAGTTTGTTATTAGATATGAAAACACCATAACATTTTTGGTTTATATATGATGCTGGAAAATATTTATTTCAAACATATATACACAAATTGTAAACTCTTTGATTAGTGACATTTACTGTCTAATACACGATTCTTAGAAGTTTCTTCTATTATATTTCTTATATGATGTTTCTTAAATATTAAAAATCGATACTACTTTTGTACTTAATAAAAAATGCATTTTTGTATTACCAAATTTGAAAATCAAAGTTATAACCTGCTAATGACCGCTTATTTTTGTAGTTCGGTGACTTATTGGTCATACAAAAACAAAATAGATACCAAAGGCGACAAAATTTTTCAGTTCTAAAGAAACATAGTTTTCTTTTGATATCATTTAGACTTAATTTTCAGTTTCAGTTGAATGACTTAGCTATAATGGACTATTACTGAATAGTTTAGTCCCTTTTTCACAAAAACTTTTGTTCTTTTAATGTATTTTTGGTAATTTTGTTTTCTTCGCATACTGTTGCGGTTGTGCTAATCATTTTTTTCTTGTCACTGTAGATATTCCCACTCGGGCTAATCGTTAACTACAGATACATGCCTTTAGTTTGCAGAGTGAGCCATGGTGTCTGTCTATGTAACTATATTCATACTATGACTCAGACAGTACATTGGGTGGCATTTGAAATAGCTAAAAATTTAATAGAGAAGGTTAATTTTTCAAATATTTTGTAACACTCCGAATTCCAAAGTTTCTTCCTATCTATATTATCTCATTTTAGCACTGATATTTGCTCATTTTGAAGTATTTTGGTCTCTGAAGTGCATTCGTTGATGTCCTTTGTTTTTTATTGCTAACATTCAGTGTCATACATTACGCCGTAAGTGAACATAATAAATGTCTATCATCCGTTTATCTGGCATTTGTCTATCTGTCATCTATCTATCAGAATCAAAAGAAAGCGCCTTTGGTACTTACAAGACTGATCGCTACATAGATACTTAAATAATCCATCAATATTCACGAACCTGCCTATTGCAACGATAAATATGTACGTTACTGTAGTAGTTTTGATTATAAATTGATTTGGCAATAAGTGCGTTTTTTAAGGGTGAGAAGATTCGCGAATATCGGCCGTGCTTCCAGATGGGCTACCAAATGTTTGTACCTTCCATTTAAAATACTGAATAAATATAACATCGTTATTTTTAGCAAAAATATATGCCACATGCTAAAATCTACCTTTTTCTTTTGCAAAATATATAATCTTTTTGCTAAGAATTCAATTCTCTTTTCTTCCTATACATGACAAGATAAGAGCTGCATACGTCTTACAACCAATGTTTTCATTAAGGTAGTAGGTCTACAAGTACGAATTTATGTAAAAACTATTAAAAATTTACTCTAATATGAACTGTAGTACATTTAGAAAAAGTGTAATTTTTCTTTTTGTTGTTTTCACATGTTGATATGTGTCTGGTTATTTTAATCGAAATTGTATAATAGCTATCTTTGGCCTATACTTGTTTATATTTATATTATTTAAAATTCTAGTCTGTTATTATGTCGCAATGATGAATACAACAAGAATCATCTATTTTCACAGACGTTCTAGAAGTTCTGGAAATTCTAATGGAAGTTCTAATAAATAATAAATATCAAGATAGGAACAGAATAAACCACAATTAACTGTAGCGATACAAAACAATAATATCTTATATATCTGAAAATGTTCCTGTCCATTTACACCCCATAGGCAGGTGTTTGAATTAGCAATTCAAAATTAGCAGAATTTGTAATTGATTCAGAAGATTATCTATGAAAATTCAAACGCAAAAGCTAGATAATTAATTTTTGCTGTATAAATATCAAAATGTGTTTTTTAACCAATAGAACATTGGTTGTTAGATTAATACGTAAACGTACGATCACTTTCAAATATTAATTGAGATCTTTTTCTATTGCACTATCAAAAAAATAATATTATTGTTGTTTAAAGCCAATACAGAAATGTTGGATGTCTAGAATGTATTAAACTGTTTTACACGATTTCATTTGGGACAAAACACCACAAACTATGAATATATTTATTCTCATTTTATCATATATATCAAAAATATTTCTATCTGTTCCTTCTTTAATTCTCTTGAAGTCTCTTGAATAGGATCCAGTGTGCAGGAGATTTCAGTTTTATGTTGTAACAAATGTCTATTCCGAATACTGGTATTTTATGCTGAATATTTTATCTTTAAAACATATATTAAGTAGTTATACAATTCTTTTTTGATTGATCAGTATTTGATTTTCGTATGTTTTAGTAGGTTTTCTAGAATCAGTTCTACTACTTCTTTTGTGATATTTATATTAAAGATCAACTGCATTTTAGGCCTGGTTTTTACCGCTTTTAGTTAAATTTTCATTAAAGAATTTCTCCACTCTTATAAATTAGTTTTTATTTCTAACTGATACTAAATTTTTAATCGCCAAATTACGGGAAATGCTCTTACAAATTATTATGTAATGGCTGCAAAGAAAGAACTCGTTTTATGTTCACTTCGTTTAGATTTAATTGATACATCGCTCAATGCGTGCATGGCAGTTTCAAGTATTTAAATATTGATATCTAGATGAATGTATACACAGTTAAGAAAAAAGACGCATACTCTTTCAGACAATCGTTAGTTGCTGTCGTTTAGAATTTTTGTTATATTTCCAAATTGTTTTAATGCAATTAACACCCAGTAGTGATCTAGATATTTGCATTGGGGGAAAAATTTTCAATGAAAGACCAACCAATAGACAAAAAAAGGTAAACGCAAACTACATAAAAGACATAAATAATAACTTATATGCCTTAAGATTTTTTAATTTTCCTTGTCTGTGGTTTAAGTTTTATGTCAGCTAATAATTATTTTCTTTAAGTTTGGACCTTGTTTGGGGAGGGAGAATGTCCCCATCCACCGTGTATTCGCCGTTGTTAACACCCGAAGACATGCCATTGATGAAATACAGTTAAACGTGCTCATACAGAAAATATGTTCTGTCACTTCATAAAGTCGATTTTACCCTATGCAATTTTCATGCTATGCAAGACAGATTATGCAACTGCGCATACTCTGTCTCTTCCTCACCAAAAGAGACGCTGCTATACATACTTGGTGTAAGACAGAGACACAACGAACAACGGAAAAAAGAATGGTGTCGTCACTTAGCTCTACAGACTGCTCAGTCTATGTTCATATATACGTCTATGGGCAAGAGATATGCCATGCAAGACGGACTTGCACAGCATGAGACTTGCATGATCTCGATGTAAAGCTATCTTAAGAAAATTTTACACTTTTTATCAATAAGTATATTATTCCATTTCAGTGATCTCAGCGTTCAAGGGTCGTAGGAAATAAATGAAAATTCAGTATACAAGTGACAGAATATTTTTAAACAAATTGAAGTTAGCTAATTCATAATTAAAATTCATCATAATTCTACTAGGCTGCGCCATTACAAATGGAAACAATTATCATAGGAATAATTTTTAATTCATTTCATGTATTTATTGCCATTAGATGCGTGCATAATATAAATATATAATATCGCTTGTTAATTTGTTTTTTAATAATTTTGTTGCGTTATCTATATATTTTTTTTTAACTTTTATGAAATCTTATTCGTTAGTTCTGACAAGTAGTATACTGAAGTATGCCATATTACTTTAACAAAATAACATTTACCTTTCGAATTGTCTTATAATACGGTTTGCAGCCATATTATTTTGACATAAGTGTTTGATTACTTTTTTGATAGTTTTTAACACATTATCAAAACGACCTCATTGGTTAACCTCAATTGGACGTGTTGTAGCAAAATTATTATCACCATATTTCGGCATTACTCGTCCCCACCACTTCTTCCTATATACAAAATCTATATACATGTAACTCTAAAAAAATAATTGAGAACGATACGACAAAGATTCAGCAAATATAACAACAAAAAATACGTAAATTACTTTTCATGATAATTATAGCCCCTTCTTGCTAGAGAAATGGACTTCACAAACTTTCAAATCGGTGTTTTGTAGTTGTCCAGATTGATATGATAAGTTTTGCGTATAACTTATTGTGTACAACACCAAAATTAATTCAAATCTTAAATATATACCTAATATCTAAACATTACAATTGTTTTTAAAAATCCACACTTTAAATTGAAGAGTAGGGATACGTCATATTTAATATTAAAATGCCAAAAACTGTATAACGCTTACATGTCTACAGTCAAATTATTTTATTTTCTATATCATATTCTAATTCCAGTTTATCTAGTAATACCAGGTTGTAATATTCAAGTTAATAATTGTAGAAGTTCTTCTACAAAAGATCACACATCAGATTCTATCATCCAAAACTTTTTCCAACTGCATTTTTCAAATGCTTCATATGATTTGGGATTTCCTGTGTCATATATATATATATATAATATATATATATATATATATATATATATATATATATATATATATATATATATATGTGCTTATAAGCTTATACGAATTTAAGTTTAAATTTGAATATGTTTCTTTTGATTTTTTTTTTCATGTCTTTGTTAACAGAGTTTTCACTCGGAAACTCTTTCTGATGCTTTGACGTTTAACAGGTACAACCAGTATAACCGTCATTTTTATGATTAGGACAGGGGACAGACCCCTTTAAGCATTTTTCACATAAAATATTACGTATCCCTATTCCAGTTTACTAATTTTTGAGATAATGTTATCAATCTGTAACTGGGAAAATGTAAGTCTGAATACCTACTCTACTTTATTTAACGTGAAGTCGGCAGTTCTCTTCTTTTTATTTTTAAAATATGTTTTGAAATCACTAGCGCCAAGCAATTTTTGGAGAAATTAAAACAGTCTGTTTACGTATTTCTAAATAATACAATGCATATTAGTGTAAGACTAGCAATTAATACATTTGAACTACTGAACTGTTTTGGACTGATGCTCTTGCTCTCTCGTGCTTCTCCATCTTTGATGGTAGAGTTTTGTTCGTCTGCTTGCATGTCATTTTTCTTGTCATTCGATTGAAGATTGTCGACTTTTCTATCTTCTAGTTCGGGAGGAACTATCGGAGTGACCTACAACACAATTTTTTTTTAAATAAATTTAAGTAAATAGGTTTTGTTTTAAAAAATTTACTCCTGCTAGAATTATTTCAAGACTATTTGGAAATGCTTTAGGATCTAGAGTTGTCACTCTTACATCACATATCACTAGATCAACACAGATTCTAAATGGGACCAATTACAGTATATTTCATTTGTGTGTACCTATGCATGTATTTGTGGAATGAAATTTCACTGCGACCTGTTGGAATTATTGGATCCATCTTTTAGTATACTGTCCCTAAAGGTCACGGACGTTGGTATTTGATTGTACTTAGAGATTTTCAATAGGAACCTTGAATACCATTTACCTTTAATACGTTTCAATAAAATTTTTTCACTTTAATGCAGGAATACTTAATTAAATAGTAAACAGAGATCGAATAATTCAAGTGCTCGTTGTCTAAACAAAACAATATGGCAATAACAGAAAAATATATAGTCTTCAGAAATACAGCAATACAAAACAAAAAAGTGCAACATTTAATAATCACTTTACTTACCTCCTGTGTGGTGGAAGCCAGCTTAGTAGTAGTACTGGATGTAGTCGTGGTAGTAGTGCTAGTTGTGGTTGTAGTTGGCACGAGAGTATTATTATGCAGGTAGTAGGCAGGAGTATAAGAGGCAATAATCTCCATCATCTTGTTTTCCCTTTTCGTGTCCCTAATGATGAACTCGCGTTTTTCTCCATCCTGGTAGTTCTGGACTACTATGGCTGTATAAGGTATCTCTAGTTCCGTATAGTTTCCTATGAGGGTTACATTTACAGCTGTACCAGCTTCTAAATCTCTGTTAAGATAAAGTCAATAAAATTTTAGAAATGATTCTATAAGTATTAGATGATTACAATAATTAGTCTGATCAAATGTGTAATTCAGTGTGAATTATCTGCCTAATCATTTCAGTTAACTAGCCTGTTTAAAACTACTATTCAGAAAAATGAAATAGTTTGCAAATTAAGACCAAAGAATATAAACTCTATATTCTTTGTTAAGACTGTCAACAATTAAACTATGATATGCGTAAGAATTTAGGCGAGTTATTCTATTTTTAGTTTCTGTTTCTGTTAAGAATGTTTTAATATTTTAAATGTATAATTAAAAAAAACATCTACCTTTCTATTGGCACAACTTCCGTTTTCTCTTCTTCGTGAGGCAGTGCCCAGCTTCCTTTTAGCTGCGGACCTTTGGGTAAGTTGACCAGCAGAGGTAGCCCAGTCGAGAGTCCGTGACCCTTACCCCAAAACAGATTGTAGTGGTAACTGAAGCTTATGACAGATTCGACTTTCTGAAATGTAGTTTCTTCATTCTTCAAGACAGCGTGACCCAAGATCCGCTGTTTTTTAGGATGACGTTTGTTGGTGCGGGCGTAGGTTATGTTTTTCAGTTCATATGATTTCGGTTCGGTTTCTACCAGGATTTCTCCGTCTTCGTAGGGGATTTCTATGTTGTTTTGATCCACCACGAAGAACATGCCGAGATTTTCTGTTGGAGTATATTTGCCGATATAGTAAGAGAGGGAACCTGAAAGTTTTAATAGTGTTAAATATCTAAATTTAATGGAAAACAAAATTATTTAAAGCATAGTATTATCATAGAGAAAGAATTTAAAAAATCAATCAAATTGCCAAGATTAATAAGAAATGGCTGTCATGATTATATCCACTTTTTGATCAATACATTCCACCTTTAAAGGTTAATATCTTCTGCTAGTTTTCCACTTCTCTATCCTGCTAAATTCTATAGAAGCCATTTGATTCAGTATGTTAATTGAGGATATTTTAACTGTGGTCTGTTTAAGATTTTATAATTTAATTTCCATCTGCTGTGATTTTATCGATTTATAGATCCATGTATGTATTTACCTTTTTGTATGTTAATTTGTATTTTCACAAAAGGTATTCCTTTTTCTTTTTGATCTTAATAACCTGTTGTAATGTTGGTATGTTATGTCGCAATGTAATGCTGCAATATATTGTTAGGGCAAACAGCTACGAAATACTAAAGTATGAAGTGTTTATTTTCATATTTTTACATTTAATATTTTTTTTTTACTGTACTATTCTAATTCAATGGCTTATGCTAACGACTTTACTTTAAAATATGTGTTTTTTGTTATTTCGTAAAATCTCGTAAAATTGTTAAACTGGCTTAAACACGTCTGGTTTTAAGTACGGAGAATTTGACTTTTTTGATATTTTTGGAAAGTATTTCAAAGCGCCCTACAATAGGGTTGATTTATGGGATGCACTTTTCCATGAACCACCTTACGGTCGGAAGGTTCTTTCTGACCATCTAAACACTTTCACTTCATCACCGAAACAGCGAACAGTAAGCACGGGACGTCCTTTCTTCTGTGACTCAGATGGCGTCGTAGATGGCGTCGTGACGCACCGCGACCAATTCTTATACCTGCTACGAATACATCAATATTTCAAAAGATGAGTCTATATTCTTTGTACAGATAACAGTATGAGCTAAAGCTAGTTAATTTCGTAATTTATTCACAGTTGTATTTGCAATTTTTCGATAATTTATTTAGAATCAAAATATAGCATTATACAAAACAACTACTTACCTTCTTTGTTATGGCTATTCGCCTCCCTTCTCGCTACAAAACTCTTTAAAGCGTTTTCGCCGCTAGTAACAGCTCCTTGCGATATCAAAGTGTACTTGTTCTTGTGGATCCAACTTAACCTGGCGCTTCCTTCTATGCTGACGAGGACATCGAACTCTTTATAATCAGAGACTTTTTTGTAAAGGGCAACGACACAAACGTTCCTATTTGGTCTGATCTGACCGGAAATCCACACGCTGTTGATCTTAGCTCGGCAGACATATACTGGCTTTTGGACTAAGCCGTTTCCACCAGTTTCATTCTCGGACACTTCAGCCTCGTTGCTTTTCGGCTCTGAAATAGTAAAAGGAATTGAAGTTATCCAATGATATCACGTGTGAGTTATTTCTAAAGACTACTCATTTATTTCTTTGTTACTGTATTGTGATCTATATTTTAAGTTCTGGTTTAAAGATCGTCATCGTAAGCTAGATTTAAACTTACGAACAGTCTTTAGTTTTAAGTTAAACATTCTATTGGCTATAATTAAGGCCGTGTTATTGGTTATTATTTAAAATGAGTGTGCAGTTTTCTGATAAACCATTTTTGCAAATATTGAATTGCAGAGAACGAATCCTCTACAGTTCACAAGAATTATATTGCAAACAAAAGAATAAGATATATAAAATGACTGGGTCATAGAAAAATATAATATGTACCAATCTCTATTATCTATTAGTTTTAAATACTAAAGTTCACCAAAGCCTTCAATTAATATCCCTGGCACCGGATTAACAATCTTTTATTCAGCTCCGGGCCCCAAAAAACGCTTAATCCGGCACGAAATATCAGATTTCTCATAAAGTGATTAAAAAAATAATAATAAAAACAATAAATTATAAATAATAAAATATTAAAGTGATGAAATTATCCGCATGACGTCACTGCGCAGAACAGACGAAATTTAGCACGCTATCGATCATACCTTATTTTCGTTGTACCATGGGATATCGTATTATCGATTTTAGGTCAAATAAATGCATTATTTTAAATGCGAGCGTTCACTGTCAGTGCTATGCTCTAAGGCGTGGATACGATGCTATGGTTTCCGTAGTGAACGCACCCTAGAGTGCTCTGTCCGTATCATTGACGCAGATTTCTTAAGCAGTATATTCTTCTGTGTCGTCGGCTGCTACAGCCGTCTATTTTGCTTTCTAGGATATTTTGCAGCAAAGCACAATATTCGGCGATATACACTCATTTCAAAAGCCTTAATTTTTTATTCATCCGAAGGTTCAGTGAGTGTCCCAAGCTTCTGTTCCATGGACTAAAATTAAAGTATTTATCAAACGTAGTGGTATACTAATGTCTATATTAATAATTACCTTCGTAATACGTTACAAAGAACTACAGAATCTCTTGAAACCACTCTTCGGAAATTCGATCTTACAGTAACAAAAATTCGAAGACAACATAGATATAATTGGACTCGATGGGTAACGCGTTATAGTTTTTCAAGATGTCCTTTGTCCTACTGTGGGCTACCTAATTATGATGACACTGATATTATAAACAGATAATAGAAGTATTTTAATTAATAATCATATAACTATGCGTAATTTCCGTCGCGTCGGATGTTTGATTTGAGTTGTTATTTTATCGTTAATTAACATGGCAGTTTTTATAACTTACAATCTGACAGATTTGCGATAACACCCATCAATCAAATTGACTAACTTTATACAAAAGTAATAATTTATTTACAAAATAATGTGATTTATTTTTGCATAACACGGTGATAGTTTCATAACTAAATTATATAAATAGTTGTCATTAACATTTTAAGTTGTATTAATGATTGTGTAGCTATAAGCTAAAATTAATGAGGATTGAGAGTGATATTTGTATCTCTAAATATTGCCGGCATTCGATAAACATATGGATCTTTGCGCTTTTATATTTTTTCGTAATTATTAGCTATTTTAAAAACTTAGTTCTTCTGTTCCACACTCCATCGTTGTTCTTATTTCACCATATATTTTGCGTAATATTCCCCTTCCTATCACTTTGGCCTTTGAGTATTTTTTTTAATTTAACACCAAGCTTTATTGATAGGTGCACATTCGTGCCAATTCCTTTGTGTATTATTAAAAAAATCTGGAAATCCGATACTATCCCAGCATTGGTGTAATATTTATTTTTATAACTTTTCACTAAACACAACAAATATAATTAGGGCAATAAAATGGTTATTTCCATTTTAATGGGATAAGCTACAATTGAAGTTTAAAATAAGTTTATTGGCGTTTCAATTTCCATTTCGGAAATCGTTCTCAAAATACAAATATTAATAAATTAAACAAATTTTGTTTTTTGTTACTTTAATGCAAACATATATTATACATTTTAAAGTAGATTACTTTAAAATTATATTGTTAATATTGCTGAGTTGCGTTCCTGGAAATGGCCTTGATGTTTCACCTAAATAAAACTGATCGCATTAAATGTGAGAATAAATGAACATCAATCTTATATTAAAAATAGAGAATTTAAGATCTCAAATATGTAAACACGCATGGGAAAATGAACTGTGTCAATGGATCGATTTAAGTATAGTTCTAAAAGAAACAGATGGTAAAAAGGGAAAAATCAAAGAAGCGGCTCTAAATATGCTAAGTGAGACCAATTGTGTCGCAAATTCCTCGGCAGAATGCAGTAGGATCTGGTTACCCATATTAAAAGACGAAATTAATAAAAGTAAAATACTGTCATATCGAGGATACATTATTTATATTTTTTAAAGAACATACATATAAAATCAAAATTTGGTATCTATTGAGAGTAAACTAAATCTAAGACCAAATACTTACCATGTCGGGATAGTATTATGACGTTTTTTCCTGTTTTTCTTGTTCTCAGGATTTACTATGGAATCACTAAAAGGAGAATTTTACTGTGATCATGGCATTTGGTTGTCTCTTTAAAGACGAATCACATGCTATGATTTTTTCTGACAAAGATTCTTAAGTTAAAGTTGATTTCATGATATTAGAAGAATTTTTCACCAAGTTACAAAAAAAAACAAAATTTGTTTAATTTAATAATGTTTGTATTTTGAGAACGATTGCGGAAGTGGAAATTGAAACGTCAATAAACTTATTGTAAACTTCAATTATCGCTTATTTCCATTAAAATAGTAATTACTTAAAGATGCCACAAGAAAATAGCTTCAGAACAATATAAATATGGTTATATGATTAAACTAAAAATTAATAAAAATTCGTTCCATTTTTACTAAAAACATACAAAGTATGTATTTATTAATATAATGGTATTTATTCTGCGTGTATCTTCATTGCAGTGCAACAAAAACCGTTGGCTCGTTGGCTTCTATTCGTTCTCTCCTATAACGTACTCTTCAAAAAGTATTATTTGAACAACAAGAAGAACGAACGGTTTTGGAATTAGTTTCAGTCCATAAAGACGTCCGCTTAAAATACCACATTCGAGGCTGGAGCCATTAACTAATTTAATGGTTACGTCTAAATGAAGGAGTTTTTAGAATAGAAGAAAGACGTGTAGAATTGTATAGGCTGGGTAAAACAAGTTGCAAATAACGTTTTACTTAGTAGTTTTTACGATCGGAATATGGAAATCATGTTTTCCAGTGGTTACAAAACCGATTAATGTAGCGAACGTCAATATTCCCCAAACAAAACGATATTACACATTTTACCAGTGATAAGCTATAAAAATTATGTTCGTACAGCACAGTAATTAAAAAACAGCAATAGTTTCTTGATTTCTTCACTTCTTGCAGTTAAAATTTTGCTATTTTGTTATTAGTCCATCTTAACTATTACACTCAGTGTGGCACTTTTAATGTTTAAAATAGATTTTATAACGTTGAAATGTTAACGACTAGGCTGATTATTTTGCTGATTTTTATATTGCACTTTACATGTGCCTGAAAAATGAAGGTGGCTCTGTGATGGTACGGGGAGGCTTCTACATTGAAGGTCACATGTACAGTTATTAAAAAAAACAATTGAGCAGTTTTAGGATTATTTGAAAAGAATCCTGATTAATGAAGTTAATTGATGCACGATTGCTGTATAAAAATTCATAGTTTAGTTCCAACGACCTTAATGAACTGAAAATTCTTCAAGAGAACATTGACTTATTTTGTTCTATTTTGCATAATAATTGTTATTTAGAAAATATAAGTTAGTTTTGCGGGACAGCGGGACGTCATGCGTGACACGAGACGGGACAGATGTGAAACCCTACTTAGATGGCATAATATGATCAATAATAATTCATATTGTTGTATAATTCATCTGTTGGAAACAGATGACACGAGGAACAGCATTTATCAACAACGATATTCGAAAGCGGAAAGAAAGGAACTACCTCTTCACATCGCACTAATAGAAAATCGCATAAATCATCAAATGGTAGAAGAGTCATTCGCTTAATCAGAAGATCATGTGTACAACGTATACAATATATATATATATATTATATATATATATATATATATATATATATATATATATATATATTGAAAAATAAATAGGACTTCGGTGATTACATAAAAAAATGGAAGAAATTTAGAGAACTTTTTTAAAAATATATATGAATCTAAAACATATACTAGGAATAGACCTTCTTCTTTTGTAGTATCTATCCGTTTCGGATATTGGCGACCATTGTGGCAATCTGTATTTTGCAAACTATTGCTCTGAAAAAATTTGTGATTGTTGTGTTAACTCGAAAAATATACCGCACGAAAAAAATTTCAAAAATATCGTAAAGTTAATAATAAACGAAATAATTCAATAAATATACCTCCCCTTTTCCACTATTTTCCCTCATAACTGGGAAAATATTGACCGTACGAAAAAATTTGCAAAGAAGACATTGTAAGAAATCGCAATTACAACCAAGTCCATACCATTTTGTCGAAAAGTTTAAAATGGCCTAGATATTAAACAAAACTAATTTCGATATTATTCCGATAACAAAACTAATTCCGATAAACAAGATAATTCGATAATTACGCTCCCCCTTTCAACTATTTTCCACCTTGAGAAAAATATCGATCGCACGAAAAAATCGCATTAAAAAAGAAATTGTAGGAAATTACATTTGTAACACTTTCAGTTGTTACTGTTTTTGTCGAAAAGTTGGAAAAAGCGGGGATATTGGGCAAAAATGGTTGTTCTTTTCCATTTTCAAAATCAAGATGACGGCTAATGCAACGGTTGGTTTCAGTCGCGCTTTTAAATTTACACTACTATTGACCCCCCATAAAGGTTAGAATAATAAAATTTGGGGCAGCTTGCTCTGCAAGGTTAGGCCTTTTTTCTTCTCTAACCTGAATATACTATCTCTAAACGTCTGTATTTGTTCACACTAGATGTTTCCTCTTCATTGACTCTTGAGTCTCATCAGGCAGTTCCAGATCGAAGACAGGGAGAGAGAAAGGCAGGATTTCTAACAAATTGTATACTTAATCAAGTAGTCGCGCTCTACGTAGCGCCATCTAATTTGGAAAATAGGTGCCACTGTGGTTATCTTAACTAAGTAGCAATCGCTAAGATATTAATAAAAATATTCTATAGTTTTGAAAACGCTTCAAAAATATCAAAAATATGTTGTTATCAACAGGTCCTCGAAGACACTTCATCTCAGGACCATATAACCTATGTAGGGTCATACGTCGCCATGTTACCAATTCCAACGGTAACTTAAACATCCTAATTTGTAATTATAAATAATGTAAAACAACTATAAATTTGTAACATTTAACGGGTTTTGACCCATATATCTTGGTGGCTCATAGCATGTATACCACGTTTACACTGATGATAGAATTAACATTCCGAAAACGTTCTGTAATGTAATTGTGATAGCCCGTTTGGGCATTTTATTATATACCTTTTATAAAGGATTTGAAATAAAAATTTTTGTGATATATGGTATACAGCCAGGAACTTAGTTTCCTAGTGGACTTCAAAAATATAGTTTACAACACTGTAAGATATATATGTTATCTTTACAATACAATTACTTCTTTAAACTATTATTTTTTACATTTATATTAAGAGTCTCACGACCGGCATCAGCTCAGTTATAATAACTATGAAAACCTAGTAATAAAAGATAATCGGTCCAATCAACCAATTTTCAGTTTATGTAAATGGATTTTTTTCCCGAGATTCTTTATTGGTTTCCGGTGTTATGCAACATGCGTGAAGAGTATGTTCACACATTAGTCTTGATTTCAATTGCTAGAAATAATAATAAAAAATATATATCGTGAAGAAAAATCCACAAAATACAATAAGTATTTATTAAGTATGATAGTATATATTATATTTACTTTCTTTTTATGTGGAGATACAAAACTTATACAGACGTAACAATATGATGTGTTATGTGAAGGCAGTTTTGGCTACCTTACGCATTTTATATTTGTTATTTAGTTTAACTAACTCTGGAATTAGAAAATGGTTCGCCATAGCCTGGACAAGTACGAAGATTTACGAAATATATGGAAAAGTAGTCATAAGAAAACAAAGTCAATTGAAGCTGGCTAAACAACTTTTCTTTGTTCTCTAAAAAAATTTTCGTATTTCATGAAGTTCTGTATAGCTTTTAGAGTAACAACATCGAAAAATTTATATAAAGAGGAAGACAATGTAGAGATCCCCAATACCTAGAATGGACCAGCCACCCACATCAGTTGAAATAACATCCAAACTATTTATGTGATACAAGAAAAATTAAATAAAAATCTATTAGCTACTTAAAAATTTTACTTCTTTGTTAAAGCATCAACAGGACCATTTAATACTCAGTCGTAATCAGAAACTTAAGGCTAGGGAGTTTAAGAGGCAAAAAAAAGAAAAAAAGAAGCTACCATATAAATGTAAACCATACGTAAACTTCCAGTGTATACAATATTGCTCGAAAAATATAGCAATAGCAGGTGTTGTACGCAGTGGGTGGCGGATAGAAATGGGGAAATCCCCTCCCTCGCCCCAAAAAGCTCCAAAATTAAAGAAAAAAATTGTTGATATTAAATGTTTTTACATTTCCTACTTCAAATCCTTAAACGTTCTCATTCACAAAGTTTTTATTTGGAAGAGTGTATTTTCCTCACGAGTTAGATTTTCCTTTGCAAAACAAATCGTTCCTCACTAATTTTTTCACCTAGGAGAATAGCTAGAACAACAAAAACACTTTAATATTGTCAATAACAAAATGACATGTTAGCCCAAGTCACAACGTCCTCTTTGTCATACGTATAGAGACACATCGAGTGGTATAAAAAAGAATTTATTCGTGTTATTCAAAAAACTATTGGACTGCTCCTCGTGCAAACCTTAAAACTTGGCTTTCCTGAAAGAAACAATGGCATTGGCCTTGAAAATGTATGTTATTAAATTGTAATTTGTAATGGAAGTGTGCACGCTGCGTAACTTGGATATGTATCACTTTTTGTTGAGCATTCTCGAACATGCATTTCGTTTTTTCCGTGAATTTATACACAAACACCAACAATGAACGTAGCTGTAATTAATAATGGTGACTAGATGAAGGCAGTACGAACTTCCTACTTCCTTTAAGAATAACTTTTTAATTTTTTTCGAAATAGTTTAAAATATTTGATTTTTTTTCAATAATTTAACCAGATGTTTCAACAAAAGGTGAACAAATAATTTCTCCAAAAGTAAGATTATCAGGAAAAGTAGGGTTAATGATATCAAATGATTGACTGAAGTATTATAGAAGAGTGGAGCTCCAGTTTCCACCGAACCGTATATTTTGTATTTGCTGTAATACTAAACTACAGTAGAAGAAAATTAGTAGTTGAGGAATTTGATACAGTGAAAAAGTTAAACATAAAATGGAATTATAAAAACAAAATAAACAGCCATATAATGTAAATTATTTTGTCTCTTGCAAATGAATGTAATAACTGGATCGCCATATAAAACTAAAAAAGATTTATAATTTCTGCTCATTTCGTCAGAGGATAATAATGCTGGAGCTAAGGTATTATTGAAAATGGTAATTTCGTATTATCAGATTCTTTTCAATGTTACGTTGTTAGGAGAGAAATAAAACCCATAATCACTAGACGATTTTTAGATTTATGATACTTCAATTGAATGCAAAAGTGTTTATAAGTCTAGCAAACATATTTAACAAATAGTGTTTATTGGATAGCTAATAATCCTATTACAATATTTAAAAAATATCAAAAGGCAGACAACAGCTAATGCAGAAAAAAGAAGGGGGAGTGCAAAAATTTGAACGATAAAAAAATGGAGGATAAAAACTTAATACTACTAAAAAACAATCCATGTTTAAATTCTGAGACTGATACATTGAATGAATGTAAACTAACAGTATACAAAAAATAATGAAATAGGTATGATGGAAACAGTTAAAGTATACCAAAGAAGTAGAGAATATTGAGACAAAAGGCTACAATATAACAGTGAAAACAAATTAAAGAGAGAATAAGGTGATAGAAATTATTATAATCAATTTTCAAATTGTTATTCAATAATATAATTTGTTTTAAGTAAACGAACCTTCTATAGTCTGGTAAGCTGCTACAACGGCGTTCTTGAAAAAACCTTTATCGTCACCGTTGAAGGGAATCCATTCTAACGTCGTGGACGTAATCACTTGTTCTAGATTTTCAGCTAGAATGTGCACAGACGGTTCTGCGTTCACGAAAACGAACCAGAACGGCGCCAGAATTAGAGTCCAGTGGATTTGCTTCATGTTTTATCTGTAAGAATAAGAAAAATGCGTTAATATAGTCAAATGTGGGAACATATGATGATTTTGGCTTAACCTAATGTGATAGATAATGGTGTTTAAAAGGAAAAATAAACAAAAACTAGTGTTTTGGATATTTTCACAAAAAATTATTAACGAACGATAGCGGATTCGGCAACAAAATATATTTTGAACGTGTCTATGACTACTAATGGGTGAATGAATGGTGAATACACTTGTTTTAAAGTTAGTTATATAGAAATACCAATGGATTTTTTTATATCGTTTTCAGCATGTAACTCATTAAATAAATGCTAATTTTGCAGAATATCCGAAGGTTTTTTTTATCCGAATGATCTATATGCTCCAGTATTTTAAAGTTCTGTATGTTTGTATATATATATATATATATATATATATATATATATATATATATAATATATATATATAAAGTAAAAAGTTGTGAACAAGTCTTGAAATGTTCATAATGAATAGAAATAAATGGCCAAAAATTCACTACAATGAACATCTCGAGACTTTTTTTTCACAACTATTTGCTGCAACCTCACACAAGTAAGTGTTTTATTTTATTTTATAAATTATATAATTTCACCATTTTGTAACACTATTGTAACTTTCGTCTGAAGATGTTAGAGAAATCTAACGAAATATTCGTTGATAATAGTAAACGTTGGGCTAGCCCAATGAACCAGCTTTTCGACATTTTATATGGTTTAGACAGCTGTTATCGTATATATATATATATATATATATATATATATATATATATATATATATATATATATATATATATATATATATATATATATATATATATATATATATATATGCACTAATTTCTTTTCTTATACATTTTTTAATAGCATTTTTGGTAGTTTTTATTGTTTCATTTAAAAAAAAATGTTATTATCGTTAATGCCTGAAAAAGTGTCTATCTTTAATTAAATATAACAAAATGTAATTATCGATCTTACGTAAAACCTCCCCAAAAATCTTTTTTTTTTGCTTTTACAATCCAATTTGTTGAACTTTTATTAAAACTTTCATAACCTCCTAAAATCTTTAGAACAGTACTACAACAACAAAGATATTAATACCTACCAAGAAAAGACATTTATGATCCCATTAGAACCCCAAAGGCAAACCAATTAGTTGAAATTAAATTAAAATATATTCACCCTTCACGAGATGGCCAGTTCGTTTTCTGTCTACCGTTGGCTATTCGGTTTCATGGAGCCTCACAAATTGAAATGCTCTTTCAAACACATGAAAATCCATCAAATGCAAACAAAACCAAAATTATGCCTGGAAAGGGTGAAAACGTTCGTGTGCTAAAAGGTGTCGAAGTGCGTGATAGTGGCTAGTAAAAGAAATAAATGTGGGAAAAAATCTAAACGAAAATGAATGGCTATTAATAAAATTAGACGCTGGAAACAGAAATATTGCCTATTTTGAGGGTTGTAATCGTTAAATTACGGCCGAACGTCTGAAGGGTTGAGAGTGAATCAAACTGTGCAGCCGCAACAATACACAGAAATGATCTAGCCGATATTTTACCAGGGTCGTCATTAAAAATTATATATATTATACTTTTTAGCTACAAGAATGAAAAAAATTAAATATGTACACCACGTGTACAACATGTCATGTTATCTTAAAATTCACGCTTTTATATCTGGTTCGGAGGGATGCTGCGATTTTATAGTAGGATCGGTACAGCAGTTAAGTAAAATAAGTCATTAGGTTACTGTGGCAATATTACGAAGAATTTTTAATAAAACGTTATCAATATCAGATTTGCCGATTACGCAATAATTATGGCAAGCTCTAATGAACAACATGATGTATGAATTAACCCGGCAAGTAAATTTTGTGAACGATATGGATTAAAGATTAATATAAAGAACTAAATATACGGGTAACAAAAATCAAACATAATAAACACAGAACTTTTGAAAAAGAAATTACCAAACAAAAATAAGAGATTTGTAACAAAATCAACAGAAATAAATGGGACAGTTTTGCAGACGCTGCAAAACCGTCCCATGTATTTTGTCTAACAAACACATACTATCACGTTTTAATACTTTTTATAGCACAATCCTGAGAACGTTAGACTCTAGTTTGTTTTTATTAAAATCTATTTTTTACAATCTGTTTCACAATAAAAACAATAAGTAAAATTGTTTGTCTTTACAATGTCAGATAGATGGTCCAGTGACCAACGTATCAAAACACAAATATTGTCTTGTTCCGGTGGGATGCGCACATAGAAAGATACGCGAACACGAATAAGGCACAGATCACCATAGCTGGGCGCTGTTGAAGGCGTACCTTCCAGGTCCATGGGATCATATCCCTTCAATTTCTCCGCTTGTTGTTTGTTAAGAAGATTGTAGGCCAGGGTGTTAGGATGCACACGCATCCAAACTGCTAGTATCAGACTGCTATAATAGCAACAATTTAAAATTATAGTCCCGAACTGTATTACATATTCCGAGCATCCAACGCGCTTAATGTACCAACAATTCCTTCAAAAATTTTCGCGTATTTTCCACTTACATACAGTCTTTTAATCGTGTGGAAAAATATAATTATTTTTTTATAATATTTTTGATGATTGTCAAATTGACGCTTTTCGCAGAATACACCACAACTTCGTTGATGGACTGTAGTTTATTAACTTGAACTTCCGAGAGGAAGAGAGTACTGCTACGTTACGTATTTTCAATATTACTACAATAAATAAGAGTAATCTGCGCACTTCATTCGAAATATGGTGTTATAGAAGAACTGGCATGTATGGAAAAAGAAACCAAATAAAGAAAGATATTTTGCGAGAAAGGGGACAACGCACGGTATGAGATGCTTATGCTTAGATCTATAGTCCTGGAAATTTACCTTATGGGCCTGAGATTATGCAGGGGAGCACTGAACCACGTAAAACTCTCCAGTACTCTGCGTAGGACAGACTGGATGCGAAATTTATTCCCGTCAAATGAGTCAACTGAGAACACGGCATAGGGTCTGCAGCTATGTCATTAGCTGTAGATTTGTTTATTAAACATGATATACGCAATTAAACATACGCACAAACTAAAGATAAATACATACATTGTATACCTATACCACGCTCAATTAGCAAATTACCAAACAGCTGTACAATTGGCTCATCATATGGTGAGATTTTCGCTGCGACTACTGTGCTCTCCAATCGCACGGTGTAACAAACACCATAGTTCAGGGCGTACATGGTACAGGTGGAAAAGTGGTGCTCGCGTCATGCCCCAGAAAGCTCGAGGCTTGAGTACTCTTTAGAATTGCAGCGTTGATACGGTAAGGGTAGATGTGCCTGACAGCATGTCGTCCCAACGGTCTCACGAGAAAAAAAGATGTGACCCAGAAGAGGATTCAGAAATGAGTGACTTCTAAATCTATAAAGAAATGATAAAGGGAGAGTCTACCCCTGCCTCTGTCCCTAATTGGCGTGAATAACCCTAATTAGTCTCCTACAGGCCAATATATATATATATATATATATATATATATATATATATATATATATATATATATATATATATATATATATATAATTTTATTAGGACTGCAGTCCTAATATGCAGTGTTGTTTGTTTATATCGACAGACGTTATGTACATTGATATATATATATATATATATATATATATATATATATATATATATATATATAAATGTACATAAAAATTGAGCAATTTCAACTGGTATATAACCGCACTTAACCAACTCACACAAAAAAAGCATAATATACAAATGTATATCTAAAAAATGAATAATAGCATTCGATATTCTACAACACAAACATGTAACATTTATAAGCTCGTTGCAGTTTTAGATCATTATCTGAAAATATCCATCTATCTTCAAAGAGTTGTTTAAAAAGTCCGCATTACCTTCTATTTACCAATTTAAACCAAATGCCGTCACCAGACAATCTTCTGCACTACAATTTAAAGTTGTAATAGCGCTAATATATTGGTTTATTATTATACATTGACTTGCAAACTAGTGTTATGTGCTATTTAGCGAGACTGCTAAAATATACCCTTCATGCGGTAATGAAACATAACACAGTGTTAATATAAAAAAATCTGTATCAATGCATAAAAATATGATTATGATCAGACCTGAAAAACTATCACTTGGTAACGATTCTCAATATTCTGTAAAAGTTACTCACTCAAAAATTAAACGACTTACGTCAAAATTTGATAGACATCAATCAAGAACAAGTTGACTTTTGTTTTGAAAATTTTACTATTTGCTACTATTTACTATTTAACTATAAATAATTAATATAATAATTACTATAATAATTACTATTAATAATTTTACTATTTGTTTTGAAAATAAACCACAATAATTGTAATTAAAATTATATATTCTTTCTTTTCAATTAATAAATAATCTTTTCAATTTGGTAGTAGTTTGATGTCAAAACCTATAAAAATCAATAAATAACAGAATGTAAACGTGAACGCAAGAAGGATTATATGTTCGACACCTGAGCGAAACATGGAGGGTTACACCCTTGCCGCAGGTATTGCCTTAAATATTTTGCTTGTTATGTTTCTTTCAATACGTACATAGTACAGGTTGTTTACAACTGTCGTTGTTTTCCTGTCCTTAGTTTCCATCGTTTCCTATCTCGGGTGTCGGCTTCATTTAGCTGTCTTCCTTCCATGGCTTTATTCACGTCATCTCGCCAGCTTCTTCTTGGACGCCCTCTTTTCCTTCTTTCGGTTGGGATCCATTTTATAATATTTTTTTTGGCCACCTCTCGTCTGCCATTCTGTTTACATGACCGAACCAAGTTAGTTGTTTTTTCTGGACTTCATCTATAATGTCTTTTTTCCGCAAATCGCCAGGAAATTTTGACATTCCTGTCAAAATTTCTTGAAGAAAAAGTCAGGACTTCCTTACTGTAAGGAAATGTCATTTCCTTACTGTA